TGGTGAGAGGCAGTGACATGCAGTGAGAGGCAGTGAGAGGCGGTGAGAGGCAGTGAGAGGCAGTAGAGGCGGTGAGAGGCAGTCAGTGAGCAGATTCAGGCAATCAGAAGCAGGGCAGGAGGCAGTGAGAGGCGGTGAGAGGCAGTGAGAGGTGGCGAGAGGTGGTGAGAGGTATTGACATGCAGTGAGAGACAGTGAGAGGTGGTGAGAGGCAGTGACATGCAGTGAGAGGCGGTGAGAGGCGGTGAGAGGCGGCGAGAGGTGGTGAGAGGTAGTGACATGCGGTGAGAGGCAGTAGAGGCGGTGAGAGGCAGTCAGTGAGCAGAGGCAGGCAGTCAGAGGCAGGGCAGGAGGCAGTGAGAGGCAGTGAGAGGTGGTGAGAGGCAGTGAGAGGCGGCGAGAGGTGGTGAGAGGCAGTGACATGCAGTGAGAGGCGGTGAGAGGCAGTGAGAGACAATGAGAGGCGGTGAGAGGCGGTGAGAGAAAGTAAGAGGCAGTGAGAGGCAGTGAGAGGCAGTGAGAGGCGGTGAGAGGCAGTGAGACAATGAGAGGCGGTGAGAGGCGGTTGGAAGCGGTGGGAGGCGGTGGGAGGCGGTGAGAGGCTGTGACATGCAGTGAGAGGCGGCGAGAGGCAGTGAGAGGCGTTGAGAGGAAGTCAGTGAGCAGAGGCAGGCAGTCAGAGGCAGGGAAGGAGGCAGTGAGAAGAGGTGAGAGGCAGTGAGAGGCGGCGAGAGGCAGAGAGAGGCGGCGAGAGGCAGTGACATGCAGTGAGAGACAGTGAGAGGCGGTGAGAGGCAGTGAGAGGCAATAGAGGCGGTGAGAGGCAGTCAGTGAGCAGATTCAGGCAGTCAGAAGCAGGGCAGGAGGCAGTGAGAGGCGGTGAGAGGCAGTGAGAGGCGGCGAGAGGTGGTGAGAGGTAGTGACATGCAGTGAGAGGCAGTGAGAGGTGGTGAGAGGCAGTGACATGCAGTGAGAGGCGGTGAGAGGCGGTGAGAGGCAGTGGGAGGCGATGAGAGGTTGTGACATGCAGTAAGAGGCGGTGAGAGGCAGTAGAGGCGGTGAGAGGCAGTCAGTGAGCAGAGGCAGGCAGTCAGAGGCAGGACAGGAGGCAGTGAGAGGCAGTGAGAGGCGGCGAGAGGTGGTGAGAGGTAGTGGCATGCGGTGAGAGGCAGTAGAGGCGATGAGAGGCAGTCACTGAGCAGAGGTAGGCAGTCAGAGGCAGGGCAGGAGGCAGTGAGAGGCGGCGAGAGGTGGTGAGAGGCAGTGACATGCAGTGAGAGGCGGTGAGAGGCAGTGAGAGACAATGAGAGGCGGTGAGAGGCGGTGAGAGGCGGTGGAAGGCGCTGAGAGGCTGTGACATGCAGTGAGAGGCGGCGAGAGGCAGTGAGAGGAAGTCATTGAGCAGAGGCAGGCAGCCAGAGGCAGGGAAGGAGGCAGTGAGAAGAGGTGAGAGGCAGTGAGAGGCAGAGAGAGGCGGCGAGAGGCGGTGAGAGCCAGTGACATGCAGTGAGAGGCAGTGAGAGGAAGTTAGAGGCAATGAGAGGCGGTGAGAGGTAGTGAGAGGCGGTGAGAGGCAGTCAGTGAGCAGAGGCAGGCAGTCAGAGGCAGGGCAGGAAGCAGTGAGAGGCGGTGAGAGGCGGTGAGAGGTGGTGGGAGGTAGTGACATGCAGTGAGAGGCAGTGAGAGGCAGTGAGAAGCAGTGAGAGGCAGTGAGAGGTGGTGAGTGGCGATGAGAGGCGGTGAGGGGCGGTGAGAGGCGGTGAGAGGGGTCAGTTTGCAGAGGCAGGTAGTCAGAGGCAGGGAAGGAGGCAGTGAGAAGAGGTGAGAGGCATTGAGAGGCGGTGAGAGGCGGCGAGAGGCGGTGAGAGGCAGTGACATGCAGTGAGAGGCAGTGAGAGGAAATTAGAGGCAATGAGAGGCAGTGAGAGGCAGTGAGAGGCGGTGAGAGGCAGTGAGAGGCAGTGAGAGGCGGTGAGAGGCGGCGAGAGGCAGTGAAAGGCGGTGAGAGGCAGTGAGACGCGGCGAGAGGCAGAAAGAGAGGCGGCGAGAGGCGGTGAGAGCCAGTGACATGCAGTGAGAGGCAGTGAGAGGAAGTTAGAGGCAATGAGAGGCGGTGAGAGGTAGTGAGAGGCGGTGAGAGGCAGTCAGTGAGCAGAGGCAGGCAGTCAGAGGCAGGGCAGGAGGCAGTGAGAGGCGGTGAGAGGCGGCGAGAAGTGGTGGGAGGTAGTGACATGCAGTGAGAGGCAGTGAGAGGCGGTGAGAAGCAGTGAGAGGCAGTGAGAGGTGGTGAGTGGCGATGAGAGGCGGTGAGGGGCGGTGAGAGGCGGTGAGAGGGGTCAGTGAGCAGAGGCAGGTAGTCAGAGGCAGGGAAGGAGGCAGTGAGAGGAAGTTAGAAGGCAATGAGAGGCAGTGAGAGGCAGTAAAGGCGGTGAGAGGCAGTCAGTGAGCAGAGGCAGGCAGTCAGAGGCAGGGCAGGAGGCATTGAGAGGCAGTGAGAGGCAGTGAGAGGCGCGAGAGGTGGTGAGAGGTAGTGACATGCAGTGAGAGGCGATGAGAGGCGGTGAGAAGCAGTGAGAGGCGGTGTGAGGCAGTAGAGGCGGTGAGAGGCAGTCAGTGAGCAGAGGCAGGCAGTCAGAGGCAGGGCAGGAGGCAGTGAGAGGCAGTGAGAGGCGGTGAGAGGCAGTGAGAGGTTGTGAGAGGCAGTCCGTGAGCAGAGGAAGGCAGTGAGAGGCGGCGAGAGGCGGTGAGAGGCAGTGAGAGGCAGTAGAGGCGATGAGAGGCAGTCAGTGAGCAGAGGTAGGCAGTCAGAGGCAGGGCAGGAGGCAGGGCAGGAGGCAGTGAGAGGCAGTGAGAGGTGGTGAGAGGCAGTGAGAGGCGGCGAGAGGTGGTGAGAGGCAGTGACATGCAGTGAGAGGCAGTGAGAGGAAGTTAGAGGCAATGAGAGGCGGTGAGAGGTAGTGAGAGGCGGTGAGAGGCAGTCAGTGAGCAGAGGCAGGCAGTCAGAGGCAGGGCAGGAGGCAGTGAGAGGCGGTGAGAGGCGGCGAGAGGTGGTGGGAGGTAGTGACATGCAGTGAGAGGCAGTGAGAGGCGGTGAGAAGCAGTGAGAGGCAGTGAGAGGTGGTGAGTGGCGATGAGAGGCGGTGAGGGGCGGTGAGAGGCGGTGAGAGGAAGTCAGTGAGCAGAGGCAGGTAGTCAGAGGCAGGGAAGGAGGCAGTGAGAAGAGGTGAGAGGCGGCGAGAGGCGGTGAGAGGCAGTGAGAGGCAGTGAGAGGCGGTGAGAGGCAGTAGAGGCAGTCAGTGAGCAGAGGCAGGCAGTCAGAGGCAGGGCAGGAGGAAGTGAGAGGCGGTGAGAGCCGGTGGGAGGCAGTGAGAGGCAGTCAGTGAGGAGAGGAAGGCAGGGGTTACATAACACCTGGAGTTACAGCATCCATATGAAAAACTCATACAAAAATTATGTGTGAATCAAGATTATTTGACAAAAGCTGCTCATCTTTAGCAACTACCTACTTTGCTGGCTGGTACAGTTTGTTATATGTCACATCACCCTAGGCCCTCTTAAAGCTAGTTAGGTCAGGTGCGGTCGCAACATTTTCTGCGAGGCCATTCCAGATGACGATGAGAATACATTGGGTGGAGAAAGATTGTAGACGAACATCTGGTGTAGCATGTGGCACGCATACCTTGTGACAATAGCCTTGAGTACAGTTCCAAAATTGGATAGTCTGCACATAGGAGCCTTCCTGCAACTGAATACAGAGGGGTGTTCGCGGGCATCGTAAACTGCTGAGTTCACTGTGTGTGGTATGTACAGCAAGCTTAGGGGTAGGGGAAGGGTAACCGGTTCTGATGTCACAGCTGCATGCCATGCGGTGGACGGCCTGTGGCCAGTCCCGACCGACCACAGCAGTTGCTGTGTGCGGTGACGGAAGAATGGCTTAGGGACGCAGTGGGCGGAGCTTAGAGCTTGTGTATGGTCCGACTGCACACAGGGCCCGTGAACAGCCCTCAGATAGGTCATAGGTATGCATAGGTTTCAAAAGTACCTATAATAATCAGCTAGCATAAAAACTCATTCTAAGAATTGTGGCTGATAACCCTGATTCTGAAGCCACGCCCATTCCATGGATCACACACATCATATCACCTTCACCTTAACTTACACACCACGGCATGTTATATCAATATGTTATATGTATATACCTACACTCAAGGCCCTATATACCCTTACCCAAGATTTACCCTTACCTACACCATGGAACCCATGGGCCTACACTACAAAATAAAATGAATATGGCGCGGTGCCTATTTACACGCGTCAATTATGTCATTGATGCGCCACAACACCTACCTGTCAGCCATATTGGAAAACAAATGCTCGTTTTTCTAAATACTCATTCTGGCTTTTCTAAGGCTTGCCGAGCTTAGAAAATTTTACCATTAAATTCAGAAGACAAAGTTGAGGGGTGATTTGAATTTTAACAAAAATTGAAGGGGTCCGCTCTCAAATGACCTTGACCTTTGACCCCTCATATCTCAGCCCCCAGAGCTTGCCGAACTTAGATAATTTAGGATATTAATAATGAAGTCTAGATGCATCAGCTCACAAAATTTCATTAAAATCTGAGGGGTCCGCTGTAAAAGGGTCACGTGACCTCCACGTGGCTGCAAACTTTGACCTGACCTAACTTCCAGGTCAGGGCTTGCCGGGCTTAGATTTTATGCCCATCGTGCTCAGCAGGTCAACTTGCATCTGTGTGCAAATTTTGAGGTAATTCTGAGGGGTCCGCCCTCAATGACCTTGAACTTTGACCCCTGATATCTCAGCCCCCAGGGCTTGCCGAGCTTAGATAATTTTATTCTGTGATGACCAGGTCATGCTGAGTGGCTGGTGTAAATTTGGTGAGATTCTAAGGGGTCCGTTTTTATCATTTTTTCCATCGAATATGAATTTCGAATCTGAATTTGAATTTGAAGCTAAGTATATAAACGTTACTTTTGCTGGGGTTGAGATTATATGGCGACTTTTATCAGAAGCTTCCAGATGGTGGAACACGTCACGTCAAGCAACAACAAAACAATACAAATCAAAATCGAAAAATATTGCATCACGTTTGGGGGACGTGAGGGCCGAGGGGTGTGTTTGTCGATTTGCTACTGTATCAGTCTGTTTCAATTTGGGTTTTGAGAAAAGAATCTAAACGCTTGCACTGAAGTTGGATTTAGGAGCTTTGCGCTCCTTATTTCTGTGGATAATACACAAGTGAGTGAGTAAGCTGTGATGAGCCATGAGGATCTGCTCAGTGCTCGCGCTACACGGACTGCTTGAATTATACCTATCTACTCAACTCTTTTACCTAAGCCTCTAAATTCCTTGAGACTGCACAAGTCTTTAGCACCCTCTAACTTGTAACGGCTACACCTGAGGGCTGTTCACACTGGCCCTGTGCTGTTTGCGGTCGGACGGCACACAGCCTCCAGGCTCCGCCCACTGCGTCCCTATGTCAGCCTTCCGTCACCGCACACAGCGATTGCTGTGGCCGATCGGGACCGGCCACAGCGGACCATCCACCGCACGCAGCCGTGACGTCAGAACCGCCTACCCAAAGGCTATATAATGCCTACCCATCCCCTACCCCCACGCCACGCCTGCTGGACACACCGCACACAGCAGTGTGCGGTGCCCGTGAACAGCCCTCTGAAATAACCTGGGCCCTGTTTCATGGCAGCGCGATGAGCATAGCAGTGTATTGGTTTTCCACTTTCGATGAAAATCAGCAAACTTGGATGCTTGCGCCTCGTCAACAAAGGTATGGACAAGCCTGTGGGTGACAAGGCTGTGGGTAAGCTGGATGAAAGTATTTTCAAAAGGTGGGAAAATGAGTCTGTGTCCATCTCCCGTTCTTCCAGCGACACGAGCTCAGGAAGCGAGGCTAACATCTGTAAGGGTGGGCCTGGAAAGCCATGCGGAGAGGCTGTTCAAGCTGGGGATGCGGGTGTCCTTTGCGACAGATGTCACAACTGGTACCACACTGCATGCCAGGGCATCCCGAAGCTGGCTATGAAAGCGCTGGAAAAATACAAGGTTCTTGCTTGGCTCTGCACTAGTTGCAAGGCAGATCTGAAAAGGGGTAAACCACATCGCCCCTCGCTCTCGTCTCTGTCAAGTAAGGTTGACCTGCTCGATGAAACCCTCCGTGGCCACATGGCTGAAGTTCAGCAATCTCTGAAAGAGTATGAGTCAGTCATCAAAGTCCAGTTTGCAGAACTGAAGTCTGACCGGGAGAAGACCATCCAGCTTGTAGACAAGTCTCTGAAGGGGAATGAGCTGCATAAGACATATGCCGATATGGTAAAGGGCACCTGCGACGAGGTAGTGAAGAAGGTCAGTGATTAGATCTCTGCCTTCCCTAAAGTGGGTACTCAAGCTGGATCCAAGGGTGTACAGGACCTGTCTGTTGCCCTGGATGACTATATGGACAAAGAAAAGAGGAAATCCAACATTGTAGTCCACAACTTGCCTGAACAGGATAGCGAGACCCAGACAGATAGATCTGGACACGATTCCTCCCTCTTCATAACCATGATCAAGGAAGAAATGAAGTTGAAGGTCAACGTTCAAAAAACTTTTCGAGTCGAAAAGAAAATTGAGGGCAAGGATAGGCTTCTGATAGTCGTCCTGGAAAATGTCTCAACAAAATATGACATCCTGAAACTCGCCCCCCAGCTGCGTCACTCTAAAAAGTTTCCGAGGGTATATGTCACTCCTGATCTGACCAGAAAGGAGAGGGAAATTAACAAGAGGCTGAGAGACGAACTAAATAGTCGGAAGAGGGCTGGTGAAACCAACTTAACTATCAGAGGCAATAGGATTGTCAGCCTACCACCATCATCTGGGCCAAATCACAGGGGCACAGCAACAAACCGGCATGGTGCTACAGCCCCTGCCACCGTTGAAGCTGAGGCAGCTGTTGGGCAGGACCGAGCGCTGCCTGTCACTCATTCCAGAACTGAGCTGGCTGAGGTTGGAGGGCTGGCTGTCGCTCCCAGAGCTGGCAGTGACCACCCTACTCAACCACAGCCTCCCCAACAGTCTGAAGGTAACCGGAACAACAACCAACAGGCCGAGACAACTGCCCAGCCAGACAATGCAAGTCATAGAGGCAACTGTCCTGTTCCTGAGGCCAATGCACCTGTTGCTGGAGCTGGAGGGCTGGCTGTCGCTCACTCAGGAGCTGGCAGTGACCACCCTACCCAGGCAGCCAATGCTGGCCAAGGCTCAGCAAACGGGAACAGTGGGACAGCCTCTGGTAGTGTTTGACTAGCGGTGAATTCTGAGGGCAGGAAAAGGACAAACTTGCAAGTACTCTACACGAATGCTGACCAATTTCCTAACAAAAGAGACGAGCTCTGCATGAGAATTGCTGGGAATGAGCCAGACGTCATCATGACTACTGAAGTCATTCCAAAAGCCCAAACTGTTCCCATTGCTACAGCTCTGCTAGCTGTCCCTGGGTATTCCATGCACACAAATTTTGACCCTTCTGTATCCAACCTGGGCTCAAGTGGCTGTCGTGGAGTAAGCATTTACATCAAAGACAATCTGAAAACATCTGTGGTCAACTTTGGCATGACAACTCATATTGAGCAGCTCTGGTTGCAACTCCCACTGATGGGAAATGACAAGCTTCTGATTGGATGCCTATACCGCAGTCCAACCCTGAGCACACAAGAGAGTTCCACTGAGCTATGTCAACTTTTGCGTACAGCCTGTACTTCAGCCTGTTCCCATATTCTCATATGCGGGGACTTCAACATGCCCCACATTGACTGGGAGAATGTCTTCTCTCCTGCTCCTCCCCTGGATGTTTCACACCAGTTTCTGGAAATGATAAATGATTGCTTCCTCACTCAGCAAGTCACTCGACCCACTCGCTTCCGTTCAGGTGAGACGCCCCACATCCTGGACCTGATCCTCACCAATGAAGATGGGATGGTAAAGCACCTTTACCATGAATCAGGCCTTGGAAGGAGTGACCATGTCATCCTGCGGTTCGATCTGGCATGCTACACATACCAACATGAGTTCCCCTCTGCTCGTCCCAACTACTTCAAAGGAAACCCAGACAAGTACATCAGGCTGGTCCAGGAGTTGGACTGGGAGTCAGCAAATGCACTCGGTATCGACCAAAAGTATGACTTCATTACCAGTAACCTCACCAGGATTGCTCTGGAAGGTTTCCCGAAAAGTAAGAGAAAAGGAAGCCGTAAGAACATCTACATAAATGGGCAGGCTCTGCGCCTAAAAAAGAAGAAAGAGAAGCTATGGAAGATATACTCTCACTCCCAGGATGTGTTGGACTACTGCAGGTACACTCAGTGCAGAAATCAACTGCGTGCGCTGACTAGAAGACTGAGACGTGACTTTGAGGAAAAGCTAGCAACGAACATCAAAGCCAATCCAAAGGCTTTCTGGCGGTATTCCAACACAAGGCTGCGGACCAAGACCAAGATCGATGACCTTTCTGATGACTCAGGGCGGACTGTGAGCGATGACACGGGAAAGGCGCAACTCCTGAATGCTTTTTTCAGTAGTATATTCACTGACGAAGATACGACCGAGATCCCGGAACCGACAACCAACTTCTCAGGTCCTCCAATCGAGTCAATCCGCATAACAGCTGAGGCAGTCCGGAACAAGCTTTCCTCTCTCAAAACGGACAGCACTCCCGGTCCCGATGGTTTGCACCCCAAGCTTCTGCAGTTGGCGTCTCAGCCCCTGGCTGGTCCATTGGCTTCCCTGTTTGAAGCTTCCCTCGACCAAGGAGTCCTTCCAGTCTCATGGAAAACAGCGTCAGTCTTTCCCATACACAAGAAGGGTAACAAGCAGACCCCGGGGAATTACCGGCCCATCAGTCTCACATCAATCCCTTGTAAGATCATGGAGTCCCTGATCCGCGATGAGCTCATGGACTTTCTGTCCCTCACAAACCAGTTTTCCAGACACCAACACGGATTCCGGCCCAGAAGATCATGCAGTTCACAACTTCTGGAGGTATTGGAGGACTGGTGTAAGATGATCGAGGCAGGTGACTCAGTTGATGTGGTGTACCTGGACTTCCGCAAGGCATTCGACGCTGTTCCACACAACCGACTTCTGAGGAAGCTGCGCAGCTACGGTATCTCTGGCAAACTCCTCCGATGGATCGAAGCATTCCTGTCGGGAAGAAACCAGAAAGTCGTTGTCAATGGAAGCCACTCTGATCTGGTTCCTGTCAAGAGTGGAGTTCCTCAGGGTTCGGTTCTTGGTCCCCTCTTGTTTCTGCTGTACGTCAATGACATCCCATCTGCCGTTAACTGTACATCCAAGATGTTCGCCGACGACACAAAGGTCTACAGCGGCGTATCCAGGCAGAACGGCAAAGATGGCCAGGATGTTGCAACTGAGGCCGTGGGGTTGGCTGTCGCTCGTCCCCGAGCTGTCAGTGACCACCCCACTCGACCAGTGCAACCTGTTGGCGGTGGGCAGAACCAGAGCGGCAGACATGCCCAACTCGTGGCAGCTGGGGTTGGGCTTGGAGGGTTGGCTGTCGCTCAACCCAGAGCTGTCAGTGACCACCCTACTCGACCAACGCAGCCTGCCGATGGAGGACTGAACCAGAGTGACAGAGATGACCATCTCGAGGCAGCTGAGGTTGGAGGGCTGGCTGTCGCTCAACCCAGAGCTGTCAGTGACCACCCTACTCAACCAATGCAGCCTGTTGATGGAAGACAGACCGCTACTCGACCTCAAACCTCCCTACTGGCTGATGGAGCAGCGACTACATCGGGAGCGCTAGCCCTCCAAGCTGATATTGATGCACTTGTGGCATGGTCTGACAAATGGCAGCTCCCGTTCAATGAAGAGAAGTGTAAGGTTCTGCATCTGGGTACAAATAATCCCAAACTCCGATACACGATGCGAGGAGTGTGTCTGGAAGAGACTGAATCTGAACGGGACCTTGGCATTCTGGTAGATTCCTCCCTAAAATTCCGGAGGCAAGCATCCGCAGCCGTGGCAAAGGCCAACCAGATCTTAGCAGTGATCAGGCGGTCGTTCGAATTGATTGATGAGTGTACTCTTCCCCTGCTATACAAGACTCTCGTTCGCCCTCACCTGGAGTACGGCAATGTGGCTTGGGGCCCATTCAATCGAGCTGATCAACTTCTAATCGAACGAGTCCAAAGAAGGGCAACCCGCCTGGTAGCCTCTCTCAGACACCGCCGGTACGAGGAACGACTGGAGGCACTGAAACTGCCATCGCTGTTTTATCGGCGACGCCGAGGAGACATGATCCAGGTGTACCAAATCTTTCATGGAGGGGTTGATCTGGCTCCAGAAGAGTTCTTTACTGCCGCTGCATCCGACCGCACCCGAGGCCATCCATGGAAAATCGCAAAACCCAGAGCTGAGTCAAGACCAAGGAGACAGGCTTTCAGTGCCCGGGTGGTCAATGACTGGAACGGCCTGCCCATGTCAGTTGTTGGCGCCGGCTCTGTTGAGCAGTTCAAATCCGAACTCGACGCCCACTGGGCAAACTTCAGGTACCTGGTACCTGACTGGAGATAGTCAAGTCTCAAAGGATTCGAGCTCGATGAGAACGGTTCCCTACAGGCCAAGTGGCCTTTAAAATTCCGATCAAATTAAGGTAAGGTAGGTAAGGTAAGGTAAGGCTTGCACCACTCGAGCGTCACAACTTACAGTCAAGCCAAATTTTGTCTCAAGCGCCGCACCAATACAGCAGCGCAGCACACTGCAGTGTCAGGCCATGAAACAGAGCAATATAATAGCACCCTCCTCACCCTCTCTTTCCTGAAGCTGAGCTGAACCTGTACTGGTAAGACTGCAATGATGAGTCATGCCAGGGCTCAAGCTAGGATGCCTGCCTCAGCCTGGAATAGGCCTGGGGCCTGTTTCATCATGAAATATGAAATATTATATTATGATGCATACGTGACAGTAGGTAAGCATCATTGGGCGGATCAGGAGGCAAAGTTCTCAAAGTATGACATCATGGCAGCCGGCAGGATATTCTGCAGCAGACTGGCCTGATTGATTTTTGTGATTTAGCTTGCTATGCTACTCATTGGGGCGTACCAAGCGTCAAGCGATTGCGTTGTGGCATGTTTCCTAGGTACTTTTGGATATGTATTGGGAGGTGTAAGAGTGTAATATACAGATATTGAGATATGGCTACTCATTGTGCACATCACTTTTAAGCATATGCCTAAATCTGCTTAACAGTGAACATACTTTACTTTTTCTGATTACTAACTGCCTATGTCAATTATCATTACAGACTTCTGGTGGCAAAATGCCAGACCTGCAAAAGCTGCCACTGGAAAGTGCCTTGGAGGACACCCCTGAGGTATGTTAATATATTGGTGGAAAATAATGTGTCCATCCCTGTGCATGGTCTGTGAAATACGTTCTGTCATGAAAATGGTCCAATGCTGTCAGCTGTCAAAACTCAGAATGAGAGTGAATGGTGCCTACCTCTGTACTACCTAGCATGCGAGTAGAGTACCTAGTTTAGAAAAGCATATAGTACACATAAAACACATGATTTTAGATGCATGCCAATTGCCAACATTTTTAAATGCTACCTGTACATTGATATGCTTTTGTAATGGATCTTAGTGGCCATTGTCAGGCTTTAAGACTAGATTTTTTTTTTAAATTTAGCTCGAATGTTTGAATGGACAGATTAACAGAGCCGGAGCCTACGCTAAGCAGAGCTTGTTGCGTAGACCCCGACCCCTACCGTCCGATCGTACAATTCCGGGTAACGGGAGAATTTAGATGCCAATTGCCAAAGTTTAACGTTTCCTTCAAAGCCGGGCACGGCCTGTCCCACTCAACTGCCTTCAACTGGCTGCGGCTGCTCCCACCAACCGCAGACCATCCCCGTCAGGAGTCTCAAATATCGAGCGCCGGAGCGACTCGAACCCGGGCTCTCACTACCGGGAGTCCAGCGCTCTACCAACTGAGCTACAGGACAGGCTGTTTGTATAGCTGTTTATGTACCCATGATGCCTCTGCATCCTCCTATAAGCCAGTTAACAGAAAATAGGGTGCCTTAAGCTCTGGGTGGTGATTTTCAGTCATATGTCGTTCCTGCCTGCTGGTCAGTGGTTCGTAGAAGCTTTTGATTTGATAATTATCATAATAGTTGGCCTTAGTGTAACACATGTAGGCATACAATTTTGTCATTTAATATGGTTTTCTTTGTCTTCATTCATAGGGGAAGTTGGGGGAACGCCGAATACTTTTTTTCTGACGCCCGTAGCACGCAAGGTAGACAACATAAGCTATTCTTGTTGGCGTCATTCGAGAGGCCAGTCTTTTGTCTTTCAAACATACCAGGCGCATTTGATGAATTCGCATACCGTTAAGCGCAAAAACTAAAAATATCAAAGAACTGACTTTTTCGGCGTTGCCCCGGACTGCGGGGAAAGCCGAAAATGGGATAAATGATCTACGAGGAATGCCGACATTGATGTTTTGCCGATTTATCTCAAACTTTATCCAAAAATCATCAAAGCTGACACGCGTTTTAAGAGCTTGAGGACGCTTGGTGCACGCTGGAAGTTATAATTGTGTGATATACCTAATAAGAAAATGCCAGGTCGCCAGGTAAATCATTCCTTATAGGTAACAGGCCGTCGTGCCGGCTGAAAGTGTAATTTGTTTGACTAAAAATACGCGTTGCTATTCTACAGCAGTAAAGTCCACGTAGCGTGCTTTAACGTGCGTAATTGCACGTTTTCGGCATTACCCCAGCCAGCCATACTTTCATTTGCAGGCCCATAACTTTTAAACGTGCTGTATAAATTTCAAATAGGCAGCACACTTATGCAAAGACATGCTGAAGATTACTTGACCGAATTGGCCAGACAAACGGTAGCATAATGAGTAAGAAATGCAGCTTCAAAGGTGCATGTAGTACAAGGGAAACGTACCTTGAAAACGCTTTTGGCGCCCTCACAGCCGAAGTATTCCAAATGACGACTCGTAACAAACATGCGATAATTGTAGTCACTTAAGCTTCAGAGCATCACTGAGACGTGGCATCTATGTCGTACGGTTTTAGAAATATCTCGAATTTCGGCTTTGCCCCAACTCCGGCATTGCCCCAACTTCCCCTACTCCCAGCCTTAGAATTGGTAATTGGTACATAAATCATTTGAAAGCCAGGGCCAAGAAAGATGGTGCATGTGCACAGTGCAGATTGCATTGGTGCTACGGTGTTGCTGTTATTTGTTTATTGCCTAGCAGTACTGCTTCTGCACTTCTCATTTTCTTCAGGCTTTGATGCTTTGTACATTATCATTGGATATCATGTTATCTGCAATAAAATAACTTTATAGCTGCAATCTGCAATGCTCATAATGACGGGACGTTTTGATTGCCGATCGTAACTCTCCAGGCGGAAAATGCTTGGCGTAGTAAGTAAGTTACCTTTTACATCAAACACGCTACTTAAACATTGCACGGTGACTATAAAACATTGAACGTTATTTTCTTGTTAGGCCCAACTCAGGCAGGGCATACTGCATTTGTGCTTGTCTGTATTCTGTGGTATGAACATAGCAACGTCTAAGCTCTAATTCGGTTAGGTTACCATGCTTCATAGTCGGGGCCAAGGCTGTATGTAGTCCGTGCCTTGCTGGTAGTGCGGTCTAAGACTAATCATAGACTAATATTTCGTAACAGCTGGAAAGGTGGTGTGATCCCTATTCCCTAGTGTTTTTCGACACGTACGCAGCAGGAAATCAACCGAGCAGAGCAGCTAGTGGTTTGAGCTCCAATTCTCCTTCCCGAGGCCAAAGGCAGTGGCTTGTCTAAATTGTCTATACAAAAAGGACCTCGGTCCAGCGATGTTATACTGTGCGAAACTCTAAGTAGAGTCTAGTAGTTTCACTTTAGGGCTAGCGGGCCGTATCTTGTGTTTTCTGCATCCTTCTGATAATTGCACAAAGTACACTCTTAGATACGGACCCTTCTGGACGGATCCCGAAGTTGAGCCGAAGAGTGGAACGTTGTTACTAAATCCAGACCTCGAATTGGTAGTGACTACTTTTGTAACGTTTCTTCTGTATTTTCACTTTCACACAATACTATGTACACACACATCGGCAGCCCCGCGTCCCCGTCCTCTCGGCTCGCGGCCCGCCAGCCGACTCCTGCCGCGCCGGCCGCGCCGGCGCGCGCCGACAACTTCCGGGCCGTGCCGCTAGGTGGCAGCAGCTGCCGGCCGCTACAAACCTCTACACCCTTCCCCCCTTGACAGGGAAAATACCTACATCTGTACGTAACGGCAACCCGGGTGACACCACTCAACCGTTCCCCTGCGGCACACTATCACATGAATGACGAACAGATCTACGCCACGGTAAGCACTCGACAAACCAACCTCATACCCTGCTCACCCGCCCCGGCCTCAGCCTCACGCGCAGACCTACAATCGCGCACACATCTACGAATAAATCATAGCGAAAATGGCAGCACGGGTGCCTGGCGCCACGCCCGGCTGAGCGTCACGATGATACGCAAACCAAGTCCGCACTCCGGTGCCCCTCGGGTCAGCGGCGAGCAATCACGATACACAACACAATACAATACAATTTGTGTTCGTCGAACACAAATTCACACCGCGCCGGGGCGAATCTCCAGCGAATTCGCCACAGACCGGGACAGCCAGAGCCTAATATATACACAGTGCCGCCCTTGGGCGTCCGCCCGCTCAGGTAATTAGTCGCATATCACCACGCAGCCGCGCGACACGCCCTCAGGTCCGTGTTACCAAGTGTGCTCGTTGCAGCGGTGGAGCAGCGCCACCACTCCGCTATCCAGCACACATATCCCTCCCGCTCACTGCCGCGGGGCCATCCACGGCGGCAGCCGTGCGGCTATCTTCCGATATCCGGCCGCGGTCAGGTGGATGCCGTCGGACTGGAAGTAGTTCGCGGCCGCGGCCGCTGTCAGGAGGTACTCTGACTCTCTCCCGCGGCGACGACGCTCGGTCAGGCATCGCCCAACACACGTCACCGACACGTTGCCGTTCAACTCCCGGGTCCAGCGTACCATTTTTCTCTCCAGGTCGAACGCAGCCGTGGTTTCCCACTTGGCCGCCCCGCACTCGGCAGTCAACCCATCCCGCGAGGGCCGCGGCGTCGGACCCACCAGAATGACGGGTGCAATGGTGGCCAGTTCTGACACCTGGGCGGTCACTGCCGACCACAGCTCCTGGCTCATTTCTCTGGGTGGTCCATTGCGGGGGTAAACATCGTTACCCCCGAGCCACAGTGCTATGGCTGCCGGGTACACTTCATTGGTATTAGCCCATGCACGAACCACGTCGATCAATGCCCCGCTGCTCAGGCATCCTGCCCAATGCTTGCCGATGTTAGCGGGCGGCACCCATACTGCCACTCGCCAGTTACGGGCATTAGTGGCAAATTCGGCATGCCGCACAATAGAATCGCCGATTATGAGACCGGAGGGCCGCCCCGTATCATCCAACGGTCTCATTGGGTGTTCCAGCGGAGAGGGGATCGGCGACCCGCCATTCCCCCTCGGCGGACCATCGCGGGCCGCGGTCCCGTCGGCGACCTTCCGCCTTGGAGGGCTCTCCGACCCTTCCTGTTCCACCGGAGAGGGGATTGGCGACCCGCCATTCCCCCTCGGCGGACCATCGCGGACCGCGGTCCCGTCGGCAACCTTCCGCCTTGGAGAGCTCTCCGACCCTTCTATTGCCTTCCTCTTGTGCGGCGGCGACGCCGGAGCATCGCCCTGATCTCCTGGGGCCATGTTGAAGGAAAAAAGGATGGTCTCCCACTCGTCCTCCCCCAAGATCTGCTGCAGGATGTCGTCCCCCTCGGCCATGGGATCAGGTTACGAGTACGGATGTTTCCCGCAGGTCTGAAATCAAACGACGCGTTATTGGCGAATATATACAAAATACACCGCGGACATTTAGGCGATACTGCACACCCCTTAGAAAGCGGAACCCGCCTGATATGGTACGACCGGCCGCGACATACGGCCAGCCCGCGTGAAACGCGGAGTGGGTGGGCCGTAGAAAGGAGGCTCGTCTGCTCTCCCCTCCCCCACTCCCCCAGGAGCTCCTGCCGCCGGAGGACGACACTGGAAGAGCAGCAGATGCTGAGGAATTCCACTCCGCTCGTCGTCCGCGAACCGACCTCCGCCCTGCTCATCTGCTGGTCGGGGCGTAGGGGCGGCCTGGCGGACTCTTGTCGCCTCTCTGTCTTGCCCGGTCCTCTCGCCGCCGGTCCGCTGCCGTTTCTCTTTAAACGGCTTCAGGTGGTTGTGGTGAAGCACCCGGGTCTTCCCATCGCTCCCCAC